TGTTTTTTGTTAATTTAATGCAATCTTTATGGCATTACATGTGATAGTAATTTATAATTGATTTGAGAGTTTAGAGATTGTGTCTGGAATTTATGCAAAATATCTAACCATTGCGTGAATCGAGAGTAAAATAATGACTGATTTTATTTAAGAGAGAGAGAGAGAGAGAGAGAGAGAGATTGGAATTTATCTAATATATGTAAGAATTTGTTATTTTTCTGTGTTTTTTATATTTTTTAAAAGTACATCTCATGGAAAATCGTGATAATAGTTATTTGAGAGAGAGAGAGAGAGAGAGAGAGAAAGATTGGAATTTATCTAATATATGTAAGAATTTGTTATTTTTCTGTGTTTTTTATATTTTTTAAAAGTACATCTCATGGAAAATCGTGATAATAGTTATCAGATTATATAATATATGTATGAAATTGACAAAACATTTTTACTGCAAATTATGAGTTCATTCAGGATTTGTCTCTAAATACCAGATTCACTCTCAAAGAGCGTGCGATTAATTAATACATATATAAAACAAAATAAGAGAGAGAGAGAGAGAGAGAGATAACGAAATTTCTAAATTTAGAAAATTAACTCAAATTTTCATTTTGTTTTATTTAATGGTTAGGAATTTAAATGAATGTAAAATGCATTGAAATGCAATGAAAGAGAAAGGGTTTGACTTAATAGTTAGAAAAGTAAGCAAAAGAGAATTTATATATTTATTTGGAGATTAATTCAACAAAAAACAATAAATAAATATTTATTTATATGTACTAATGATATGTATAATATATGTGCCGCTCATACCTGCCGGAGATTACCCTTTTGTTTAACAATCGTGATAACCATCCAAAGTGGGATCTGTATCATAGCGATGGCCGCTAATTATCATTTAAAATACAAATACATAATCGTTAATCACATCCAAAAATGCAAAACAAATTACATCATAAATATAAATTAAATATAAAGTATATTATAAGACCGATATAGAGAGTGATCCGTACCTAAAGCCCAGCCAATGCCTGTACCCCAGGCGGGAATGCCTTTCTTCTGATTGCCAGCCTTTCCGATCTCAACGTTTCCATAAATGAATATAACCTATAATTTTGGGATTCAATTCAAACCAACTTTTAATTAAACATTTAACGCAAACAGTTCAATTAGCATATGTTTTGTATATATTTTAAATTGAATTTAAATAACTAAATGAATATTAATATTATGGTAATAATTAGCATACAATGAGTGTGATGGGGGCGACTAAGCCCCAGGTCACTTTCCAGTATAAGCCTACGCTCTTGTTTAACATGAATTTGAGGTCAAAACAGAACCTCTGAAGACCGTAGATCCAGAAGATGGCCACCATTTGACAGATACCGTAGAAGAATACAGCGGTTCCCACACCATAATTGTCTAACAATTCCATTACATAAGTGCCGGCCTTTTGTGTAAAATTAAAAAGTATAAATAAATGTATTTTAAAAATTAACAATATAAGAACTCTTTTGAATAATGCATAACACAATTAGTGAATTAACACATTTTTAGAAATGCTAATTCTCTCTCTCTCTCTCTCTCTCTCTCTCTCTCCCTCTCCCTAAATGAGTTTAGTTTTGTTGTTTCTCTCAAATCAATTCATCATTAGTTTGGGTGTATTTTCCAAATCCCAACGAAATGTCAATTGTAATACTATTTAAATTATTTTATTCTCAGAAACAATAACTCAATTCCTAGAAAATTATCTAAAAATAACTACCGGTAAAATTTTGCGAATACATTAGAAATGGAAATATTCTGGTCTCTATTGTTTGGGAAACAAATCCGTTTACCATATATGGTCTAAAATGGATTTATCAAGATTTATATCAACACGAGATTAAACCAAATAACACTATTAATGCCTACATCTGTGGTGAGGGGAAGACCGCAGATGCAGAAGCAAATGCAGGCGATGAGGGCCAGGATCTCCTTCTTCTGGTGCAAAGACACGAACTCGTCTTTAATGGCCGTCAGAATGGTCTCCACCTGAGAGACAGAACTCCCGATTCCCAGAGTAAACATCATTATGAAGAACAACACTGACCACAGTTGAGGCACAACCGGTATTTTGCCCAACGCTTCCGGATAGACCACAAACGCCTAATGGTCTCCACCTGAGAGACAGAACTCCCGATTCCCAGAGTAAACATCATTATGAAGAACAACACTGACCACAGTTGAGGCACAACCGGTATTTTGCCCAACGCTTCCGGATAGACCACAAACGCCAGACCCAGTCCTTTCATTATACAAAATACCATTACATTTGCTGTGTTTATATGAAATTTGTAGTCTTATTCACACAGACCTCCTTCAACTACTTTATCAATGTCTTTGCCGGTAGTTTTGGCCAAATGTCCTAAGTTTGAGAATATGACACAACCGGCCAATAGGCTGGTGAACGTGTCCAACACGGCTATAATGATTGAATCCCTGGCGACAAACAAAACACAACATTATTTTAAAACAATGACAATAAACCTCATTAAACAGATCTTTAAATACCGGTAGACATTGTTGTGGAACTCATTATAACTCGAATACATAATAAGAGTACCGAAACAGACGGCCAGCGAGAAGAATGACTGTTCGACAGCTCTGTACCAAACGATCGGTTCCAACAGTTTCTCCCATTTGGGGGTAAAGAAGTATTTGATGCCATCGATCGCTCCGTCGGTGCTCAACGTCACGCCCAACAGCGCTATCAACACAGCGTACGGGAAAATAGCCGTAAAGTACGCCACCTGACAGTCAATATACAGCGGCGTTGTGTTAATTGTGTGACCAATTTGTTAGCTAACTATAGCCATACCTTTCCCATAGAGCTGACACCCTTAACAATGCTCAGGTAGACCATTGTCCACGAGCCGATCAGACACAGCACCAGTTGCCAACTCATTGAATTCATATCAGCTAGGCCAGTCGACTGGTTTAGCACGTGTCGCCTGGAAAAATGAACTTGGTGTATTAATATTTAAATCAATTGAAATAATAGGGGTGAAAATAAGACACTAACTCATAGTATAGTTCAGCCCACGTTCTCTGGGGCTTCAGGTCGTCCTCATCGCCCATAAACCAGACTTCGGGCGCAGAGCTGAGGGTAGTTGTGGTGGTTGTGTCTGCGGTCTGGTTGGCGCTACAAACACCTCCCGGCGCCCAATCGGGATCGCATTGAGTCCACGGCAGCGGGTTTTTGAACGACATGACGAAGTAGTATAGCGTTAACGCCATTAAATAGTTGTAGAAAATGATTACATAAGATGTGGAGAAGAGTTGCGCGAAACCGATGCCTAAAAATTTTTGCGGACAATTGTTTGCCATTAATTTAGTTACAAATGAGTGGTTTTATGTCTATAACTAAGACATCGAACCCCAACCTTTGAAAGCCGGCACACATTTCCACACTTTGAGAGGTCCGCGACCACTGAACTGTCCCAACACCAGCTCCAGGTAATACATGGGCCGTCCGATTATAAACAATAGTAACAGATATGGTATTAGGAAAGCGCCTAAAATTTTTAAAATAGCAAAAATATTTTTAATTAAATACTGTTTTAATTATAATAATAATTGTTAATTGTTTAGATAATTGAATAAATGCACACCTCCTCCATTAGTATAGGCTGTCCACGGGTTGTGCGTTATGGTAGTTTTGTTAGGGGTGGGGGTGAGTGCGAGTCAGACATGTAAAAAATAAAATAACTAATTAAAACGATAATGATCAAATGACATTTATGAAAGCGCCCATACCTGCGTGTGGGAACCGCCAAACCTATGAAATTAAACGGAAATGCAATTAGTGATAAATATAATGTTTAATAAAAGATTTTTAATAGGGATTACATTTCCTAAGCCGACGGACATAGCGATACAGGACAACAAAAACTCGATCCCTTTCGACCATTTGCCCCGACCTTTGATCTCTTCGACCCCTTCCGGTGTCGGCGACTCATTCGGGTTACCATTGTTTGTGATATCACTCTTTAAGTCGATTAAATAAATGTGATTAAAATATTGTTAATATTTTATTTGTTATAAATCTATTGGTTTTGGAATTTCTTTGTTTCATTGGTTTAATTAATTAACAAATAATTGCAGTCTTTATAACTGTAGAGACAGTGTTTTAGTGCTTAACTGTTTAGATAAGAGATTCATTAATGAGAGGTTTAATCGTAAGAATAAACTAATAAATTATATCAAATTAAGTGTTAATTGTGTTATACAAACAGTTTGTTAACACTAATAATAGATGTAATAAAAATTCTGTTTACATATATTTAATTAATATTTAATTACATAAATTTGCAAAATTACTTACAAACAAGCTTATTTGTGTCTCGGTATATTTTATATTAGTACTCATTTGGAACAATAATTTGACAGATAGTAAATATTGAGAAACAAATATTGTTTTAAAAGTAAAATATAAAGCATTTGTTACAATTCCGGATGAAATTCATACGAATACTCATAACAACTGCATTTGTTTTAGTAATAAATGAAATATTACTATAATTAGCACAATATAACCATAAATCTATTGTTAGTTTAATAAGACTTTTACATAAATATTTTTATTGTGTTAACGGTTTATTAAAACTTGTTTTAATTATTTTACATGTAAATTAAATATAATTATGTATAAACATGAATCTCATATCTCAGAAATGTTGGCATATTTTCTTAAGAAATGATTTTAAAATACTTTTTTAAAAAATTAAAACTAAACCAACGAATTATTGTTAAAATAATTTATATAACCAATTTTGCTTAAAACATATAAATAATAGATATAAATATTAAATAAAATAGCATTTATAACTATTAAAACTTGTGAAATGGTGTTTAAATGAAATTCAGAATATATACTGATTATTAATTTGACAATATATTTAAATTAGAAATAAATGGCAAATGTAAAATATATAAAATTTATTTAAAATGTTTTATACTATATTATGGAATATTATTAATAATAGTTACATCAAAATTATCTAAATCAAATTTGTTATGTTTATTATTAACTTATGTATAATATATAGAAATTTATATAAATTTTTAATAACTATTTTTAAATGTTAAACAAAAGATAATATTTAACGAAATGTATCAAAAATGATGACTAAAATGATTATAAATTTAACGATCAATAAAATAAAAGATAATTTAAAACATAAAATAAAACACAAAAATAAGATCAAAAATTCTTACCAATTCTAAGAGATCTGACTTTTTATGATAATTGTTATTCACAGACATTTCATCCCAAATGTGTGATATTTTTTGATGCAATAATGTTATGGCTTTAATATTCACGTAACAAATAGTTATATAACAAAACAGCTATAAAACACACAAAATAATAAACAAAAAGTGTATTTCATTTGAGAAAATACTTGTTTATTATATATTGAAATATTATTTATTAATATTATATTTAAAACAATAATTTATTGACAGGAATATCACTTTTTCGAAACAATAGTTTGAGAGTTTGAGGTTAAAAACAGGCTGAAAATTATTAAAAACAAAAAAAGCACAAATGTAAAATCAAAATTATTTTAACTATTTAATTTTTTGTTCACTCTCTCCTTATGGTTGGTTTGCGTCAGTGTTTTGTCACATAATTGATTGAAAGTATTATTATTTTTAAAATTTACTTTTTTTTATGAAATCAAAGCCAATATATAATGACTGAAGGCTTTAAAATTCTCAAGGAATACAAGGATTATTGTATCGAAAAGTTATTCATTAAGACTGAGAGAGAGAGAGAGAGTTCTTATTATTAAACATTATTTAAAACTTTCTCTCTTTATGTTTACTAATAGTCTTTAAATAGTTTAAACGAAAATGAAATTAAAGAAAGTTCTTCAATGAGAGGGGATATCGTTATCTTGTAATTAATACCGCAATACCTTGTAATATTTGAGACCCTATTATTTGATCCATTCGTTTTGTATCCATTTATTCAGGACTTAAGTCCTCATTAAACAAAAGGCAATGAAAAATACCATTCATTTCATTATTGCATTTGAAATAGAGATACAGTAAATGCAAAGTGTGTTATAGTTTTATAATT